AGACGTGCTGCTGGATCTCTCGCGCGCCGTCAGCTGTAGCCTGACGGCTCCTCGATGATGACCGATGACATGTGAGAGCAGGGAGGGGCGTTAATTCAGCCGGATCGACCGACGGTCCCGCGCGTTCCCGTACTTCATCACCGCCTGCTGGATGGTGTCCTGGACCGCGTCCAGCGATCTGCCGTAGCCGGAGTGCCCGTAGCCGTGTCCGTGGTGCTCCTCGGAGCTATGGGTATGGGAGCTAGAGTAGATCGGTTTGCTGACGATCTCATAGGTGGTCTTCTTCTCGCCGCCACCTGCGAGCGCCTTCAGTCCGACGATGGCCGACAGCATGAGCGCCATCAGACCGGTCATCAGAGCCTTGCCAGCTAGCAGAGCTAGAGCTCCGAAGCCTACGGCTCCCAGGGTGCCCTTCATCATCATCAGCCCGGCCATGAGACCACCGTAGCCGCCTTTGTCCTTCTTGCGACCTGGATGAGAGGATTCGCGTAAAAGCATTGCTTAATCAAGGATTACTCTAAAGCTTGATTAAACTTGGACTCACCGGTTCCAACACTCTGTCCTCCCAGACCCAGCTGAGCCAGAGTCTCCTCGTTGAAGTTCCTCGCGGCTTCGAAGGTCCTAGGGTCGAACAGCTTGATAGAGATCGAGTGGCTGTTCAAGTAGCTGCCGACCTTGTGCACCAGGTACGCGTCCAGCCGCTTCTCCACGTCGTTCGGGAAGTCTCTGGCCAAGTTAGCTACCACTTCGGCAGCCGGCATGCTGGCCGACCCGTTCTCCTTGATCACGGACACGCCGGGCAGGATGTTGATGTCCTCCTGCTCGGAGAGTCTGTCTAGGAAAGACACCACGTCCAGCTTGAGGCAAGTGGCACTGTACGACTTGCCGCAGTCCTTGCTCAGCGTGGAGGCCAGGCTCTCCGGCGACTCCTCGACCATCTGCTTGGACGTGCGGCCGATCTCCGCGTGCGCGGACCCGAGGGCCAGTAACAGCGCAGCCAGCTGGACCATGAATCCCTTCATGTTGTTCGGAGGATTATCGTGTCGTAGAGGTGATAGGGTCTCTTCCGTGTCCGGACGATCGGGTCGAGCCTGCTCGGCGTCCGGGTCTGCTGCGCGGATTGAGAGTTTCGAGGACTCGAAGCTGACCGACGAGGCGCGTACCGTGCACTGGACATACCCTCGGATGGTTGCAGTATATATAGAGCGAGCCAACGGGTAGTCCTTTTTCCTTTTTGCCTTTCGGCCCGTTCCATACATTCTCCGTAGCCGAGAGCGCCGGCCCGGCGTGCTGCTCTCCTCTTCGCGGACGCCGGAAGAGGGGCCCTCTCGCCATGGCCACCGCCACCGCCACCGACGCGGCCGCGAAGCGGGCGAGAGGGAGCGTCAAATAGAGCGGAGAGGCTCGAATCCTCTGTCGAATTTCCACTCCGAGCCGCCTAGACGCGGTCTAATGAGAGCGAAGCCTCCCGCGGGGAGGACCGCCGCGTCGCGAATTCGACGCGCGAGGGAATAACTTTCCTACGCGGCGATTCCGCTTGCTCCAGATAATCGCCGATACGCGTTATCGGACACCGGCTCGGTAATTTCACTGGCCACCTGATATACCGATTTTTTCGGGTGTTCGACGGATGACGGAGATTCATCTGGGAAGTGGAGGATTTAGAATGTCTTTGAATGTTCGTTCTGAAGTCGTTGGAATAAACGAAGCTGCTCGTGCATCCGCGTTTGAGACGCTCGAAAGAGGAACGCCTCTTTCGATCTGAGAAACGAAAGCTCGATTGACCCTCGAATAAAGTTTCTACTCCATCATCCGCAGTAAGAGTACTCATACGTCATTAACTGCCGCAGAAGTCGATTTCCTTTCCATAAGCTAATTCGTGCGTTTCCCTGCCTACGTTACCGATTCCAGAAGTGTGTCACCAGCAGTTTCTATTCTTCTTCGCCGACTTGCGAATCGATTACCGATTCGATAGCGTTCGATACGCGACGAGGACGTTGAAACGGGAGATCGCGTGTGAACGTAGTCGTTAATTAGACATGTATCTTTCTAAAGGATGATTGACCGTTCCGTCGTTCATAAATCTATATCACGATCGATCAGGTCGTCTACAGCGATCACGCATCTCCGGGAAACTGCCGGTGAGATCCGAAATTTACTCGAGATCGCTGTGAATTATGTCCGACGGTTAATATTAATTTGACGTTGATGTTCAATGATGTCGCGCGTAAATCCCTATAAATCTCGCAATGGCGGCGATCGAAGACGACGACCCGCGCGGTAACCACTTTCCATCTCGACGACGAAACCGAAGTGGCCTACGGGCTTGACAGTCCTCGCGCGGACGAAATCCGGGATGATCGGCCGGGAAAACCTCGGGAGTTTCACGCGAGCGTCAGTTAGGAGAGGGAGACGCATTATTTCCCTCGGCTGAGCGAAACGTGACGGAGGCCTACTTTAAATTAGCCCAGTTAGCTCGCGGGAGATCGGATTTTCGCGCGCCACGCTCGAACGACGGCGCTTCAGACGGATACGGCGGCGAGAAAGTGCGCGGCCAATTTTCACAGATGCCACGCCGCGCGACTAATGCCCCGATCGCGCCTTGGAAATCGTACGATCGCCGGATCATCTTTTACGCTAGCTCGAGCCGTTCGTCCTTCGAGATTCCAACGTGTCATCCTTTGAGTCCTAATGGCAGGACTACTCTGGGGATCTTGGTTTTCTGGAAAGTATTGTTGTGTGGATTATAGTGACTTTTTTTGGGACTTTGGTTTGTAATTTGTTATTCTCTGGCTTTGGGTGTAGGGAGTGATGGGAAAATTAGTATTTGATTGTTCGACGCTTTGGTTTAAGATGATTTGATTATTCAGAGTATTTGCTTTGCAAAGATTTGATTGTTTATAGTATTTGCTTTGCGAAGATTTGATTGTTCGAAGCTTTGCTTTGTAAAGATTTAATTATTCAAAGCATTTGCTTTACGAAGATTTGATTATTCAAAGCATTTGCTTTGCAAAGATTTGATTATTCATAGTATTTGCTTTGCAAAGATTTGACTATTCAAAGCATCTGCTTTGCAAAGCCTAATATTTTTATATCAGTCCTTATACCCAAAATTAGAGGATGACAAAGTACAGCCCAAAGTTACTACAGAAGTTTAGTATAAACTAAACATTGATTAAGTGTCCCTAATCATCTCAGTTCTTCATTCTAATTTCAATTACTTCTTAAATTTCTCTAAATCGCCCAATCTACTAATCCTAATTCTAACCCATTCAAATCTAAATATCAAAATGTTCTCAATTCCAAATAGAATAAGTTGAAGACCAAATGATCTAAGTTCGATGAAATATACAAACGAATGTCAATGGTGAATTATAATTCCTAGGAAAGATTTATCTTCGTTTCCGTCGTTGCTTTCCTTTGTGTCAATGCACGTTCGTTCCGACGTGCCCCGCGAGAATTCCAGGCTACGCATTCCGCTGAAATTGCGTTGAATTCACCGGCGCAGAATTCGTAGCCGCGGTAAATGGTTCGCCGTGAACGGCGCTTAACGCCGCGATGGTATTTCGTACGGGCAAAGACGATGCGCTCGCATGCTCGGCCAGCAGGTGTGTCGGAAAGGAGAGGATTAGCCTTCTTCTCGAGGTATCTACTTCGCGACTTGTTACTTCCTTTTACCGCAACGCCTTCCTTTCGTTAATAATCGTACAATCTCCGGCGAGCTGCTCCTGTTTCGCGAAACTATCCGGCCCAGAGTCGGCCAGTCGTTCGAACGACTGCGTATGGACAAGGATCGAGACCGCTCGACGTCGAACTTCGATCGTTTCGACAGAATCCGAGTCCTTTCAATTTCCAAGTCGGAAACCTACTCTGTACGCTTTCTGAAAGTATAATTCAGACAGCTGTATACTGAAGTTCTATCTTATCAAAATTTCTGTTCATTCCATTCATAGACTAACATGCAATTTCTAATCATTCCATAGTGAAATGCTTATTCTAAACAATTGTACTCTATTTAATTGAATTTCAAAATTCTAAGAATATGGAATAATGTCAAAATGAACTTCGATCGTTCCAACAGAATATTCTAAATTCACAATATCATTAAATTCAACAATATTCTAAAGATATGGAATAACATCAAGATTACTTTACTAATACAGATCATTCTTCATTTACTCCTAAGTACTTTGATTTCGATTTCCAAACTTCTACATGTATACTGTTTGTCCAACAGATACAAAATTGCATCGATAAGTTTGCCGAGTATATTATTCCCTTCAATCGCACAAGTATGAATACATTTTGCTTAGTTCGACCACGATTGGCCGGGACCGACTGGATTTCCGGCGAGCGGAGTGACGCCGTTCAAATCCGATCGATCGGCCACAAATCGTGTCGCGAGTGAAACGTGAATGGGTGTTCCTCTCGTTCCCATAACTGTTCCACGCATACTGTTGCTATCCCCAGTGTAATATTCGACGGAGCGTGTCGACGGTCGAATTTCGATCCGACCGATCGACCGGCGAGGATCGGACATAGAAAGGTCCGCGAAAAACTGTCAATGACTCGGCCTCAGATAGGCCATTCCACTTTCCGACGCTTCGAAAGCGAAAATTAAAGCGTTACAAAGTCGATCGGCTTCATGGCCGATTTGCAGCGAGCAGTCCTTAATTCGATCGCGGTTCGTTTCACCGGACGCGATTATCGACGTGAGCCGAGCGAGGTATAATCTAATTAAATTGTTAACAGTTCGTTCGACCGCGAATTGCACTCCATAATCGCCGATCGCTGTTTACTCAGACTTCATTCGCGGGATCATCGATTTCCATGCAGATCCTTTCATATTACTAATTGCTACAATTGTATAGCTTCACGTATGATCGCTTTAATTACTCCAACGTCTAAACTCGATTATTAACGTTAGAAACTCTGAAACGAAACAGATCCTATATATTCCTTATCAACAGCTCTCGCGTGTTTTTCCAACGATAACAAGATAAAAAGGAATGTGGTACCACCTAACATTTAACTCGCATACATTGTAGACATTCGTTGCATTCTTCGGCGTTCGTATAAATCTACACCTGTTTTACATCGTTTTGCATTCATTATATCCGAACAAACAATCTAAACTCCAGACAATGTTATTAAAAAAATACTGCATAATAAATACATCGCGCAGTTGCGAGAGTGTCGTAGGAATCGTTTGAATCTGTTTACAGCAATCGCGTGTCGCTCCACGAGAATATCACCTGCCGACGATTTTAAACGGTTTTAATTGAAACGATTCGCTATTTCCGAACCGGGTTAACCGGTGCTTTCGGCTTCGTAGAAACTGACACAGACCAGCTAGAAGCAAAAAGGAGAAAAAATTGATCTAATCCGATCCATTCAGCCGAGTCCCCCGATTTTACGCGACTGTCCCTGTCTGCGGCCGCAATCAGGCCAGCCAGCGCGTTCCTGCCCGTCGCGCCCCTTTTTGCGTCGATTTTTGCTCCCGATCGTTCGCGGATCCGACGGTCACCGATCCGCCGGCCGACGTATTACACATTCGAAACGGCGAACGTAATTGCGCCGACGTTAGGCATTAGACCGGACTGCCCGGCCGCGGCGGGCACCGCGGTTACCCCATTTTCGCCTCGGAAATTGACACGGCAGCGAGAAAGTTATATTGCCGGCGATCTAAGAGGCTTCCCCGAACTTACAGCGACGCGATCCGCGAGGAAAACCGATCGTTTCGTCGCCCCGGTCGCGAGCCACGCGACGATCCTCGGGAAATCGTGTTAGCTCGCGGGAGACGGATGTCTGACCATTGCGGAAGATTCTACTGCGCGGACTTGGGAAGGATTGTGGGTAGATAGTAATGAGTTTTATTGGGTGATTTGTAATGTAATTGTTAAGCACTTTTGTAGGGGGGTTTGTTGAAGTTGCGGTGGGTTTAATTGTTTGATTTTTTGGTTTAATGCGAGGTGTTTGTTGAGAGAAGTGGAGGTTTAGGTTTGATTTCGGTTTTTGAGGAGATTGAATTTTTAGTTGGAAAATTGATTGTTATTGGGTGTGAATAAGGATTGGATGTGTATGGTAGCTTTCGTTTCTTTCGTGAATGAGACATGGAATTCTTCTTGAAGAGATTAAAGAAGCAGAGTTTCACATTTCGTAATAATCGCTGAACTGCAGTAGCCTAGAAGAAATCGTACTCTTTTTTCCTCGAATTATTACCTGCCCTCCTCCTCGGGATTCCTTTCATGTCTCATCGGCTATTCGAAGATTATCAGACCTCGAAATTTCAGACAGTAACGCATCTGATTTCACGTGCGGTAAACTCTCATTAGAAAACACAATATAATATAGCGCAGGAAATTTCCACTGGACCTCAGAACTTTTCGAAGTGCACGTCAGGATTTAAATCAAATCCTTCATCGAAAAACGAACTAATTAAGAATCATGGAAAAACATCATTAATAAGGGAACACATCATTTCCAGAAATGTCTCTTAAAACAATTCGAAATGAATATGAACAACTCTATTCATCAACTTCCTCGAAAACAGAACAAAGAGAAAACTAATAGTTTCCAAAAATCTGTCTCCAAAAATGCAAAATAATTAGAAATAATTGGAATCAATCTTGAACAACTCTATTGATCAACTTCCTCGAAAAGAACGAAGGGAAAATTAATAATTTCCAGAAACCTGTTTTCAAAAATTCGAAATAATTAGTAATAATTAGAATTAATCGTAAACGTCTCTTTTGATCAATTTCCTCGAAAACAGAACAAAGGGAAAATTAATAATTTCCAGAAACCTGTTGCCAAAAATTCAAAATAATTAGAAATAATTTGAAATAATAGTGAACAACTCTATAATTTCTAATAACTTCCACACATCTGTTTCCAAAGCTTCGAAACGACTACAGAAAACTTCAAATACGAACATTCCCCGGAAATGGAAAGAAAGGCCAGCGCGTTCGCGCCGATTCTCCACGGTCCCGCGCGCCTGACGGTTCACGCGTCTAATATTTCTGCGACGCATCGTTCTGTGCAAATGCATTCGCGTTTTATCGCGGCGTGGGTCCGGTGAAATGAGAAAAAAGGAGAACCACGGTGGCGGCTGATACCGGTCGCTGCCCGACCGGCTGCCTAGACCTCGTTAATTCGAGAACGAGCATCCGTTATGCGTTCAAAATGCATTCTGCGTGTTCATGCACGCTCCCCGTGCTCCTGATCGGCAATCGGATGCCGCGAATTCCTTCCCACGGAATTCGAGCAACAAAGGGACGCCGATATCGATAACATTCCAATGCAATAGCATCGATTCACTCGATTCATTACACGGACGCTGAACATTCGAGTCACTAAAACGTCTGATTTCCGAAGGATTTTATGGGATTCCATGGGACGAGATCGACTGACAATTGCATGTTAAATAAATATTAAACTGCTCACAATTCTGCATGATGCATTAAATTATTAGATTCAGCTTTTCGTGAAGGTTTATATTATACATCTTTCTACTTATTGAATACATATTACTTAATTGATCATTAAAACTGCAAATGTCAATATAATTTATACACAAACACAACTAAAGACTGAAACACTTATCTCAAATTAACCCAGTCACATCAAAACATCGTTAACCCATTCTCGAACTATCTCCCTCAACCAGAAACCCAAAATCCTCCAAAAAGCAATCCAAATTCCCACAAGCAATCCATCAAACCTAAATCATTACCGATGCCTATAAAACTACATTCCCAAAGCCATCCAAAGT